TGAAGAGGGAATTAGGGTAAAATGAGTTCATGTGGGTGGACCCTAATCCAGAAAAATGACTAATGTCCTCATAAGAAGAGGAGATTAAGACACAGATAAACACAAGGAGGGAAGACATTTGAAAAATGTCATCATTTCAAGGAGAAGAAGGCCATCTGGGAGACAAGGAGAGAGTCCTGGAACACATCCTTCCCTCACGGCCCTCCACAAAAACCAACCCTGCCAACACCGTGATCTTGGACTTCTAGCCTCTAGAATTGTGGGGAAATAAATTTCTGTTGTTTAAGCCCCGCAGCCTGTGATGCTTTGTTATAGCAGCCCAAGAAAACTAATAAACCAGCCACATCAAACAGCCTAAATGCACAGGTCTAGGGGTCCAGGGGTGGAAATGAAATAGCTCCTATTACAGTTACACCAAACAACGTACTGAAGGAATTTTTGCTTCTCATTCCCCACAACCTGGGGTTCAATGGGTTTGGAGGTCCTAGTAGGCTAGTGGGTTTGGAAGAATGCTTCCACCAGGGAATGCAGTTATGGTTCTTTCAATTTGGAAGCTGAGTCCACCCACTTGCCATTTTGGCTTCCTTGTGCCAATGATCCAGCAGGCAAAGAAGATGTCACTGTACTGGCTGGTGATGTTCCTGATTTCCCAGGGGAAATTCCCTACTGCTTCATAATGGAGACAAGGAGGACCACGTCTCAAAACATTGGCCAATAGTCCTGGTCAAAGAAAAAGTACAACAACCCAGTAAAGGTAGAACCACAAAGACTCAGATCCAGCAAGAATGGAGAATTGGGTTACAGGAGGTTTTCCAGCCAAGATGTTGGTAGAGGGTAAAGGAAACAAGGAATGGGGGAAGAATGAAACTAGGATTATCAACTAAGGCCTCATGAACAGCTACGGAAGCAATAACTGTGGCAGTTCTTTTACATGTTTTACTTCCTTCCTCATTCTTTTTCACCTGCTACCTTATATGAAGACCATTGGTGGTGACTAATGTGTTAAGGTTTCACGTGAGTATATGACTGAATTATTATCAGCCCACAATGACACAAGAGCTAATGGGATGATTGTGTGTCCTCTGATTGGAGATATCAATTTTCCATCTGGACAAAGAACGAAAATGCATGCTGATGGGCAAAAGGAGTGGAGCATGTTGGATTTTTCTCATTTGTCCTTCTGATGCGTTCTTCACCCTATTCTGTTGCTCAGGAAGCTGACCTTTATTGAATTCTTTCATGGGCTTCCAGATGGATTTAGCCAATGAGAGGCACTGGAAGAGTTCTAAGGACAGAAGGATGAAGGAAACCTGCTGGGTTGCCATGTGCTGGCTACATCCCTCTACCAAGACTCAGTTCCTATCTGGCAGACTCCTGCAGGTGTTCTTTCCCGGGGATGCAGGTAACTGCTCTCTCCCCGTGCCCTTCAATGCTAGCCCTGATAACTGCTGCCTGCTGTTGCTGACTCTGGGAAACTACACATCTCTTATTGGTTTCCCATAATGCCACCGTAAACCTTTGCATACAGACTCTGTTAAACTCTGTTCCATTACCATTTGAGTGTACTGTGTATTTCCTCAGAACCTGACATTGGGGGAGAGAAAAAAAAGACAAGAGGTAAAAAAGTGAGTAGAGAAAGAGGGAATAAAGAGTAGGAAGAAAAGCAGGATGGCTTTAAGGGAAAAGTTTTATTAAAGAGGGAGAAAACAATAGAAGTACTAGGAAAAAAACAAAATACATAAGCAGTAGCTGACCAGTACTTATCAATCAGGTTTGCCAAGAACAATCACTGGGCTTTCACTTGGCCCTCTGGCCATGGCAGCTGTGGCCCAAACCAGAGCAAGCCGAGCGGCCCCAGATGCTGATGCGGCATACCTCTCAGGAGACCACCCGATCACCTCTTCTCACGGCCTGGCCATGGCGACCTACAGACAGAGCCATGTGTGGTCAATGGATATTCCTCCATCATATGCTGACCTTGGCAAATCTGCCAGAGATATTTTCAGCAGAGGATTTGGTTTTAGGTTGTCTGGATGTGAAAACAAAATCATGCAGTATCACGGATTTCTTGGTATCTGGTCCATCTAAAGCAGACACTGGTCAAGTTGCTGGGAGCTTGGAAACCAAATTCATACAGTGTGAGTATGGTCTGACTTTCAAAAAAAAATGGGACACTGACAAGAGTCTGGGAACAGAATTGAATCAGACTTGAAGACCAGATTTGTCAAGGGTAGAAACTGACATTCGATAGATACTACCTTCTCACCAACAAGAAAAAGAAAAGTGGTAAACTCCAGTCTTCTTATAGGAGGGAGTGTAAAATCCTTGGTTGTAATGCGGACTTAGATTTTGCTGGACCTGCCATCCATGGTTCAGCTGTCTTTGATTCTGAGGGCTGACTTGCTGGACACTGGGTGACTTTTGACAGTGCCAAATCAAAGCTGACAAGGAGTAACTTTGCCATGAGGCATAGGAGTGGAGACATCCAGCTACATAATATGGTCAATAACTGGACAGAGTTTGGAGAATATTTATCAGAAAGTATATGAAGATCTTGATGCTTCAGTGAATCTTGCTTGGACCTTAGGTACCGACTGTCCTTGTTTTGGCATTACAGCTAAGCATCCATTGGATCCCACTGCTTCCATTTCTGCAAAAGTCAACAGCTCTAGTTCAAGCGGAGTAAGCTGCACTCAGACTCTGAGGCCTGGTGTGAGGCTGACACTGTCTATTCTGGTCAATGGAATGAGAGTTAATGCTGGAGGCCACGAGCTTGGGCTTTCTCTGGAGTTGGAGGTTAACCCGGCAGGGTGGGAACCCTTGGGAATGGGTCTCAGAAGGTTTGGTCTTAATGTATTTCCAGTGTGAGCACAGGCTCCCTCCAACTCCCCTCCACCCCCTCCAGAGATAAAACAAAGGATGATCTAAATGAGAGCTGTATTTTAAATGTGGAGTCAGTTTCTTGTTAACTAGGTCCTAGTTAAATTGTTTATCTACTTACCAATGCTGCAGTAGGGCAGTCACCTGCGCATTATCTAAATGTATTTAAGTGTTAGAGTGCTATCCACCAATAATGAAATGGACAAAAATGTAAAACAAATAAACATTGGGTCTATTTTTTTAATTAACCACGTCGTTGAAAATTTTCTTCTTTGGTTTCAGCTACCAACGGCCAGGGCCTCAGGACTTTCACGCTATACATTTTAAACAAAATCCTCTCATCCAGGATTTCTCCACTGCAGCACTGCTGACACCTCAGATCATATCATTCTTTGCTGTGGGGAGGGCGTCCTGTGTAGTGTCAGACGTCTCACAGCATCCCTGCCTCTACTCACTAGATGGCTCCTGTCATCCTCCACACCACCTCTCAGACATGCCAGTGTCCCCAGATATTGCCAAATGGTCCCTGGGGATAGGGCACCCGAGAAAATACTGCACAGGACATACTTATAGTAAAAATATTGTTATTGTTTATCTGAAATTAAAATCCAAGTGGACATCTGTATTTTTATTTGCTAAATCTATCCAGCCCTACCGAGAGGCGAGATTACCCCTATCTCTCTCACCTCTCACCCCATTTGAGAACTGTTGCTCTAGTCCACAGGCAGCAAAGGAGAAAAAGGATGGTGATGGGAGGTGGGGAGTGTTCGAATCAGACTTGCATTTTGAGCAAAACTATATAAAATGTCTGAGCTCTGCTCACAAGCAGGACTGCTGTTGTCAGCACCCTGTTGGCACAGATGACACAGTGAGACTTCACTGGCACCCTTGGCTCTTTTGAATATGCAACTGAAGATGGGAGCCCAGACCTTGTCAGTCACATCCACCTTTGCAGAGTGGGGTATTGTGATGTATTACAAGTATAAATTTAGTCTTTATCCTGTTTCTGGCATAGAGCTCTTCAAACCCTGGGAATTTCCTAAGTGACCAGAGCAACAAAGGTGTCTTTTGTTATGTTAATGAGGTGACTTTTGGACCACACCTAGAAATGGGGGCTGGTTGCCAGGAGAAGCCACCTGATGATTGGAGGTTTGGAACTTTCAGTCCCACTCCTCTGATTGTCAGGGAGAGGAGTGGGAGTGGAGGTTGAATCAATCATCCATGATTTAATCATCATGCCTTTGTAATGAAGTCTCCATAAAAACCCAAAAGGATGGAGTCTGGAGAGTTTCCAGGTTGATGAACACATGGAGATGAGGGGAGAGTGGCATGTTCTGAATAGGGCATGGAAGCTCCTTGCTCTTTCCTCATACCTTGCCCTATGCATCTCTTCCTTCTGGCTCTTCCTGAGTTATATCCTTTTATAATAAACTGGTAATTTAGTAAGTGAAATGTCCCTCTGAGATCTGTGAGCTGTTCTAGCAAATTAATCAAACCCCTCGAGAGAGCCCTTGGAACCTCCAATCTATAGCCAGTTGGTCAAAAGTACAGGTGACAATCTGGTCTTGTGACTGTCATCTAAAGTGGAGGGGGCAGCACTCTTGGGAGGACTGAGTCCTTAATCTGTGGAATCTGATGCTATCTCTGAGTAGATAGTACCAAAGTTGAATTGAGTTCTAGGATGCCCAGCTGATGCTGGAGAATTTCTTGGTGGCATAGAAACACACACACGTGCACACACACACGTTGGAATAAGTACTAGAATCATTTTCGGGAGAGTATCCTGACTGTGGAAGGAGGAGAAAGTAAGGAAATGGGTACTTGTGCCCTCTGTTTCCTCTTTTTCTATTGAATCTAAATAATACTCATCTTTTCTTCTTTAAAATGTTTATATTGAGGGCTGTATTTGATTAGCTGATAACAGTATGGAAGGAAGAATTAACAGGAAACATTTCCCCTGCCCGTGAATCTAACTCGGGTCTCCTAGACAGAGGGGTGCACTTGGGTTCTGGGATCCCTGAGACTTGAAATTACAAACTCATATTCACCAGAATAATAGGTACTATTTTAAGATATTCCTCAAGGTCTCAGGTGATTTGTAAAAAGAATTCAAAGAAACCTGGAGCCACAAATTGATGTAATTTATTCTCCTCTCCTCCTTGTTAGCGTTCCAGCTTTTCCACTTCGGAGTATCCGGGTTCCTGGTCTCCCACCACAGAGCTCTCATCTGTAGAACAAGAGCACGGCTGCCTCAGTTATCTCCCGGCTGCAGCTGTAACCAGTGTGAGCTCCGTATCCATTGCAATCAAAGGAGGAGAAATCCCCACACTGCCTGGGGTTGCCCTCCGGGAAGAATCCTCCTCCACCGATGCAGTGCTGGGAAGCAAGGAGAAGAGACACAATGAGGGATTTGCTGCCGATGCTCTGAGATCTTAATGGCCAAGTCCCCTGGAATCTTTGGTTCTCATCTGACTTGGCTTTGACCACTCCCTCCCACGAAAGCCTCTCCTCTGTGGACTCTGAAATCACTCTCCTTCCTGACTTCCTTTCTACCTTCCTGAACATGCATTCTCAGGCCCCTTGGCCTGCCTCTCTTCCTCAGCCCATCCCCTACATGCTCTTCAGAGCTCAGTCCACATCTCACTCTCCCTGTTATGGCTCATCTTCTCCCATGACTTCAGCCATTATTAGCATACTCATATACTATCAGTATACTCCTAATCTCTGAGGCCAGCCCAGATAGTTTCATTCTTGAGACCCTCATATCCAACTACCACGTGGGTGTCACCACCTGGATATCTCACAGGTATCTAAAACCCCACTTGAGCAAAACAAAACTAATGATGTCTCTTACTGTCCCTGATTGAGGAATCTGTTCCTCATCCTGCCACCTGTCTTAATTGATAGTACACAGTCACCCAAAACCAACACCTAAGGTCTTTTTAGTCTCCTTCACTCAACATCCGCCCATATTTATCTGTTCATTAAGGACTGATGATTCCTTCCCCTACGTATCCCTGGAAGCCATCCATGCTCATTCAAACTCATCAAGAAAGCCTTGGCTCAGGACCTTAGTGTGTCGCATCTGGACCTTTGCATCTGCCTCACAGTCTCCTGGCCCCTAATTCTCCTGCTCTTCAGTCCTTGTCCTCCACACTGCGATGCATCATCTTAGCAAAACCAAAGCTGATCACGTCACTCCTCTGTTCAAAGTTCTCTGAGTCCCGTCACCTGCAACATAAAATCTAAATCCTTGACATAATGTGAAGTCCCTCCTGGTCCTGGTTCCTATAGGGATCTTCTTCATCAGCCCCTGCTTCTGCCCAATATGCACACCGTGCCCTCTCAAACGCCAATGATTTTGAGCATCGTAGTCATACATGCTAAAAATGCACTATTCTGCCCTTTCCTACTTGTCGAACTCTATACATCTTTGGAGATTCATCACAAATGTCACCTTCCTTAGAGAATCAACTCTGTGCCATTAGTAGAATTAGAAGCTCCTCTATCGTGTTTGAGAGCCCCTTGTTTACGTTACCCTCACAGTTCAGACCACGGGAGATCGCCATCTCTGTCCCACTCATAGCTCCTTAAGATGGCTATGTCATCTGTGCACCTCTAACACCTAGCACTCTGCAGGTGTTCTCTGCTTGTATTTTCTTAAATTATTTTATTGAAGTCATACTGGCTTATAACACTGTGTAAATTTCAGGTGTACATTATTATCTATCAGTTTCTGTATAGACTGCATCGTGTTCACCACGAGTCTATGCTTGTATTTTTAAGGAAAGAATCAATGCCTGAAGGTTATATGCAAAGATGCACTAAAACACAGTGTAAGAAGCCAGGGAAGCCAGTGTAGGAAATGGTTGTCTAGGAAAAGAGACGCACCCCCCACTGCACTCCCAGGGTCCACAGCTGTATTATCCTCTGGATCACAATCTAGGGGTCCTTCCATGAGGGCACAGCTGCCTCATCGTGACTGAAAAATGGACAAACTGATGGCTGAGGGGAAAGTGAAGATGGAGTGATCTCGGGGTCACATTCTCAGACTGTCAGCTGGGCAGGCAAGAGGGCCCTAAGTGAACGCCCTTCTTCTTGTGGCTCTGACTTCCTCCTCCTCCCCCAGTCACAAGATGTCCCTCAAAGATACTCTGCAGTCACCACAGCTATGGCGCTCTCTGCTCCGGCACTGGGAAAACAACAAAAACAGAAAGCTTCTGGAAGTTAATATGAATATTGGAGAATATCTTCATGACCTCAACATAGAAACATACTTCTTAAACAAAACATTAAAGTACTAACCATACATGGAAATCTTGATAAACAAAACGTCATTGAAATAGATTATGTTCACCAGACACCATCAAGAGAGTAAAAAGGCAAGTGACAGAGACACACATCAACACACCCCACATGTACACGTGCACACGCTTTGATCTCCCCAAACTCACGTTCTCAGTGTTGCAGCCAGTAACTCTCACCCCAGCACACAGGGCATTGACTGCTTTCTCATTATTAAACACTCTGAACTGTGCGAATCCTGCAACAAATTCCCTGGAAAAGAAGCAGCAGAGAAAGGGCCAAATGTTCAAAGGAGGAACTGGGAATAGCTTCCCTTTGAACAGCCCAGGGATTCCCTAAGCCAAGAGTTCAAGTCACAGCCCAACCCTCCAAGCTGTAGGGGTGGAGCCCAGCACCTGTGTTTCCTGTGGCTGGGACATCTGACCCTGAACTTGGCCAGGGGAGAACCTCTGTCCATCTGGGGCAAGAGGACAGAGGCTGGGGCTCACAAGAGGACACTTGTCTGCCCGAGGCTTACAGGAGAAATTAGACTCCACAGAGGATCACCAAGAAGATCTCCAAAGGTGCAGGAGGACAAGCAATGATCAGATGTGGCCATGTGCTTCTGTGGACACACTTCTCATCCAATTACTGTGTGTTTGTTTTCCTAACTGCCATTACCCGCCTTCGTAAAATATCAAACGTCAACAGTAATGGCTTTTATTTTCCAAACAAAGACTTAACTTCTGTGCCTTTATTATGCTGAAAAATGTCTTTAAGATAATTAATAGCTGTCCTTCATAACAAAAATAAAATTTTCTCATCACTTTGCTAGTTTTTCTCTCCTATGAACACTAGCCTCCACCTTTTCTTGACTGTTCTAACAGGCCACACAGGGTGGTGGTTAAGCAGCCTTGGTTTATATCCTGTAAAATGGAGATAATAGTAATTTTAACTTCATAGCCTTTCTCAAGATGATGAAATGACACAAAACTGTGTCAAGTTCCTAGAAAAGAGCTTGGCGCATTGTAAAGTGTTCAGGAAATGCTAGCAATTATTATTTGTTTTATGTACACTTTTCCCAAGAGGGCAGGGCAGGATTTAAGACCAGGCTGAGGAAGCCGACACTCACTCTGACCAAGTGGTGAGTAATAAGACGCAGTTTTCTGAGCATCACCGAAGTCGTAGATCACAGGGACGGCTGGGCCATTGTCAGTCCAACACTTCCCTGCTCCATACTTCACTGGGTATTTCTGCAGGGACCCAAAAGTGCGGTTGTGTGAGGACAGCAGAGATGCCGTCATATTGAGAGGTAGGGGATTTAATGCCTTCCCGTGTCATTATTCGGAAATCCGTCTCCATCATAGTCACGCCTCTTTCCCCAGAGCTGTGTCTCTCTGACAGCCCCAAGCCCCTTGGCCTTCTCCCGCTCTCCCTCTCCACTCCTCTCCCACAGGCCTCTCCCCTTGCCTGCCTCAGAGGTCCTGAAAGAGGCAGCACAGCAGTTCACAGTGACCCAGAGTAGGAGAAGCGGCCAAGCACAGGCACCTCACGGTGATGCATGGGCACAGAGAAGACTTGCCTCTCACCCCAAACACTTGGCTCTCTGTTCACCAGAGGAAGGTCCCCCCAGCCAACAGCCCTGGTTACCTGGTAGAGGCCGAACAAATTATGTCCCAGAGTCTCCAAGAAGCCATTCCTGGTGCAGTACCTCAGCAGGGAGCTGTTCCTCCACTGCTGCAGGGGGGACTTCTTGGGCACATGCCAGGTGCCCAGGTCCTGGGCCTGGATGTCATAGTAGCCAGGGTTCTGGAGAGCAACAGACATTGAGCCTGACCAGGCCAGGAGGTCCCACAGGCACCAAACACACACACGCAGCCCTCAGTGGAGCCGAGAGCTCTGGGCTCCAGGAGGGCAGGTGGCCAGCAGCGCTCAGACACCCCTACTTCCAGCAGATGAAGATGCCTCCCACCACCCAGGTCCCTAAGGGCCTTGCTGGGAGGAAGCTGTGCTTCAAGACCTGGAAGTAGGTCTTTCTTCTCCAGCCCTGTCTCCACATCCCCATCTTCCAACCCGCCCTTCTACACGGTGTGGTCGAGCCACACTCAGCTCCTCACCCTTTCCCAAGAGGGTGGTGAGTGGCACCAAGCTTGTAGTCATCGCTGGTGGCCGCCTCTGCAGACCCAAAGGTGTTGTGATTGGCCCAGTTGCCGTCCCCCTCTGGGTAGTCTGCCCTGCTGCCCTGCTGACTGGACCAGTGGTCGCCCACCGTGCACTTCCCCAGCATGTTGTTCTCGTGCACGCTGGCCACCAGGGTCCAGCCGCCACCTCCAGAGGTCATGTCACAGAAGGTCTGGTAGATGACACTATTCTTAGTGCGGAGGAGATACACACCATCTGCAGAGGGAACCAGCCCAGAGCCCCCTGTCTGGGAGCACATGGTCCTTCTCAGGACCCACAACCAGAAAGATTCAGGGAAATCAGAAGCGTATTCTGAAGGCTCCCACACTTCGTCATTTGTGGGAAGACAGTTCTCTCTGGGTCATCTGTGAGCAGAGGCACTGCTTGCCTTAGTTCCACACTATCTTTTCAAAGAGATTGCAGAGCAAACAGCCTCAGAACAGAGAGATGGTGTCTCTTTCCGGATAGTGCCTGCTTCTGGCCAGGAGAGGCCAGAAATCAGCACCCTATCACATCCCAAGTTTACATCAAGTTCATCCCAGAGCAAAGGGCAGGCATGGCCACTGACCATTATACAGTCATGCCTCGCTAAATGACGGGGATATGCTCTGAGAAATGCATCGTTAGGTGATTTCCTCGTGCTATCACATAGTGTCCCTATGCCAACTAGATGATATAGCCTACTACACACCTAGGCTATGTGGTACTAATCTTATGGGACACCATCGTCTATGCTGTCCCTTGTTGACTGAAACATCGTTATGTGGCGTGTGACTGTGTAAGATTCAGATTCCCGAAGCTCAGAGTTCCTCTTCTGTACACAGCCTTGGAGGAGAAGGCTCCATTGTGCCACCCCAGTCACTTTGCACATCTCCACATGTGCCACATGGGCAAGGCCTAACCACAGTGGACCTAACCCCTGGTAGAACACCTGTCATCCTCCTGAAACACGGAAGCCTGGCAGGCTTGTAGGGGCTGCTACAAGGTCGGTGCTCACCCACCTCCCTATCTTGCAGGGAGGCTGTCGTGAGACAGTTTGTCTTTGACTCCAGCTTCTGATGAGGCCTGGGGCTTTTTGCCTTGCTGCCCACCCCAGCCTCTTAGGATGCAGCTACAGGTGACAAAACTGAGTAGCTGCAGCCTGGGTCAGATCCTCTGCATCAGAGTCCCTCACTACCCATGTTACATTGTCATCCGGCCCCTTTCGTTTCTGTGCTGTCCTGTGGGCCAAGGGATGGGAGAAAGTGACATCTTTGCTATCTTGGTTTTGCAGTCTATGTGAGTAATAAACTGTCTGATCTAAAAAAGGCTTGTTGTTTCTTTACCAGTCCACTTGTCAGCCTGCTTGACAAAACCACTACCTGTGCAGATGTCTCCTGGCCCTCTTCACATCACCGTGTTGGAACTGGGGCTCAGGGAACCAGCACGAGAAAATGCTGATACTCTGGCTACTGCTATTGCTGTGAATTATAAAGGTCTTCGTCTCAGCTTCTGGAGTCTCATGCTTCCTGCCAGCACCCATGAAACTGGAAGGCTAACATTAGCTCACAACTAGAGGAAAATCTTAGACTCATCATGGCTCTTGCCACCACCCCATGTGTCGCCAGGAACACTGCCTTCTCCCTGTGCTCAGAAGATCATGCCTGCTGTGACTGGGTGGGACACAAAGCCTCCAAATTCCCACTGGAAAGCTCCTTGGGTGGGAGCTGGAGCCAGAACAGACAGCGGTGGGTACATTCCTCCTGATTTCCGTGCCTGGGCTCTGTTTAGCTAAAAAGTGTCTTCAAGGAGAGAAGGCTGGGTTGGTTTATTACTCACCACCTGCTCTATTGCAACTTTCTTTGAGTTCCTTGCAGCTTCGAGGCAGGAAAGAAAGGGAGGAGGCACAGGTTTTGTCCACCCGGAACATCTCAGGAGCCTGGGGCACTGCTGGAGGATGTGAGAATAATTCTCATTAACAGTCTGTTGCCTGATACCATCCTTCCTGGCATCAGCTCCCAGCCCCTGCCCACTTCGCCAGTTCGTCACTATGCTGTGAGCACCCAGGATTCCGTCTGCTAAGACTATCTGACCACGATCTCGTACAGGCTTAACACTGAATTCTTCTTCTCAACTAACCAAAACTGAAAACTATCATTACACCTGTTGTGAGGAATGGAATTGGGAGGATGGGGACTAGACGGGGATGTTCCGGGACACAGCATGACCACCTAGCTCCCTTTGGAGATGCAGAGGCCAAGGCCACAGGGGCAGGAGTAGCCGGGAGGGGACACAGTCCCTACCGTCCCCTTCCTGAGCCCCCTCACAGTCACACACAGGCACAGAGTGGGGCCCCAGGACATGACTTAGCTAACGCTGTGACTACTTCAGATCAGACACCCGGAGAGGCCAGCAATCAGCACCCAGGCCACATCTCAAGTCAGCTGCCACGTGTGGCTTCTGTGCATCTCCATGACTCTCCTTCAGGCCCAGGATGTCAGCATCCAGCCCAACTCTACCCCCTCACTCCCCTGCACAGGAGAGGTGAGCTGAAGAAACTGCTGCGCCTGAGTCACTTAACTGCACTCCACCCTCTGGTGGCCACAGAGACAAACAGCAGGAAGCAGAATCTGGCCATTGTCCCCTAAGGGGAAAGGAGATGCACAAGTCACTGGCTGCACCATCCTTTCCCTTCCTCTCATCCTTGCTCTCTGTCCTTTCTGAGTCAAGAAACCGCAAATGGAAAGTGATGGGCTTCTGGGCATTCTGGAACCTCCCCGAATAGCCTCCATCCCTTCCCAATCCTAGAAGTTCTTAAGGGGCCATGGGCTCCTTTCTTGGAAACTCTCAATCCCTGAGGCCAAGACCAGACCTGAGCTCACATCTTTGCTCCCCACACCCACAGGTCTTGTCGCTGACTCAGAAATCCTCACTGGGACAGAGAGCTCCCTCCTTCCTTCCTCACAGATGCCACAGCTGAGAGTTCCCTGCCAGGTGCAGACTCAGAGCTCCCTGCCTCTGCAGAGGGTCCTGACTCAAGTGAAGTGCTGAGCCCTTTTGGGGAGAGCCAAACTATGCAAGCCCTGCCCAGCCCTGCCCAGGCTGCTGGCCCCTCCCTCTGACATGCTTCCCTTTGAAGGTCCCTGGGCTGGGCCTCTGGGAGTAAGAGGGGTGCCTGGTTGGCCAGAGGAGCATTGGTCACACAGGTGACACTCACCATCTGGGGAGTAAGAGGGGCGTGTGGTTGGCCAGAGGAGCATGGGTCACACAGGTGACACTCACCATCTGAGGAGGGGGTCTCTGCTTCATCTGAGCGGCTGCAGTGTTTATTAGGTAATCAGACACTCAGGACAGGTGGGACCCTACACTTCTTCCCTCCCGCCTACCCCCCTCCCACCTCGATGAGCTGCTCCAGCGCCTCACATGCATCCCTGTCAGGACATCATCCTTCAGCTCTGCTTAAGCCTCTCGGGGAAGCCCCCCTGACACCCCCACCCCCAGGTAAAGCTGATGGCTTTCTCCTTGACCTACTGCTCTGCTTTGTCCTACACTAATGAGGACAGGCATCACACTGTAATTTCATTGTTTTATGAACTTTTTGTTTAGGAATAATTTAAAATTTACTGAACATTGCAAAAATAAAAATTGTACAAAAACACAC